CACCATTCTTGGCCTTGACCTTGGCAAGCTCCGTGGACAGAGCTATGACGGAGCAGGCAACATGGCAGGAGCCAGGAAAGGTGCCGCTGCCCGTATCACAGAGAAGTACCCCCGAGCTTTGTACCTGCACTGTGCCTCGCACTGCCTGAACTTGGTGGTCGTCTCGTCTCTGCAAGATCGTTTGGTGCAGAATATAATGGGCGTCGTCACCCGAGTAGCAGTTTTCTTCGACTCCCATCCGAAACGCCAGAAAGCGCTCGAGGCCGCTTTGAATGATGCGGACGAGGAACCTGATACATCCAAGGTAAAGGATCTCTGCAGGACACGGTGGGTGCAGCGACTTGATGCACTGGAATCCTTCCTGGCCCTTCACCCCATGCTTGTGGTCTGCTTCAATGCAATCCTGGATGAAGGTCCCCAGGCGTGGTCAAGAGATTCCATTATGGATGCGAATGGTTTGCTGACGGCTATCACCAACACCGACTTTATCGCAGCCTTAGTTATTGTCAACAAGTGCCTTCATTACGTGCGTGGCATCACCTCCAGTCTCCAAGCAGAAGCCAAGGACTTGATTGCAGCAATGCACAATGTGAGTTCCGTCACAACCACACTGGCAGAAGTCCGAAGAAATGTGGACAATTACCATGGTGAGTGGTTTGAAGTGGTGAAGTCCGTATGTGAGGCAGTGCACGTTACGCCATCACTTCCTAGGCTGTGTGGTCGCCAGACCCAACGGAACAACGTTCAGGCCGATACGCCCGTCCAGTACTACCGACGTGCCCTGACAGTGCCCATTCTGGACCACATGGTGTCGGAGATAGAGGCCAGGTTCACGCCGCACCACTCGACCGCACTCCAGGGCTTCTGTGCCATCCCAGCACTGCTGCTAAAGATGTCCATGGACGCTGCGAAGTCCCAAGTACAGGAGCTGGTGAAGCTGTATGACGACGACTTTGTGTCTGGCCGTAGTATGGAGGCTGAGCTCCACTGCTGGCGCGTGAAGTGGGTGAAGGCAAAGGCAGAGCACGGTGAAGCTAGCTTGCCGACCTCGGTATCAGCAGCGCTACCCCACGCTTCCCAGATGTTCCCGAACATCCGCTGCCTTCTGCAACTTCTTGCAACCTTGCCAGTGACGTCTTGCTCGTCCGAACGGTCCTTCAGCGCCCTGAAACTGGTCAAGGACCGGCAGAGATCAGTGATGAAGAACTCCCGGCTGTCTGGCCTCACCTTGCTGCAGGTTCATCATGACATTCCAGTTGACGTGGGTGCGGTCATCGATGAGTTTGCTCGCCGCCATCCACGACGAATGCAGCTGGTGAATGTATTGCACAGTGAATGATGCAGCGTACTGTGGTACATCTCACTCTGGCACATCTGGACTGTAAATACAAATCTCATGAGGCAGATTGAACATGAGCACTCGTCGGCAGACATACGTAACCTCTAATACCTGTATAATAAGATTTCCCCTGTATTATAAAATGTTCCTATCCTGGCTGGTATAATGTGCAGCAGTGTCCTGGTGATTACATGTATTCAATCGTGGATTGAACGAACTTCAACAATTGTCTGTATTATATTCTGGGTCTAACCACACCCTGTCAATCTCTTACCATCCAACTTCTGTAGCAAAGTACTGTGCGTTTCATACGATTATCTGACTTTTTATTGAATCATTGGTGGAATGGAAAATAATGAAATAGATGCAAAAATGAAGGATTTGGCACTCAATATCGAAAAATTTTCCGGGGAGGCCCCCCCCCACCCCCCCCCCCATTTTTCGCACCCTTCGGGCGCAGGCCCACACTTCCAGTGAGCACCCCCCTCAGCCACAATCCTGCCTACGCCCCTGGAATAACTGGCAGGGCAGGGTTGGGCCTTTCTCGCACAGCGATAAGCCACATTCGCTACACACCAAACAACAGCACATTTGTATTGCGGTTAGGAGGGCCAGAAGTGTGACACCACGTTCTTTTACATGGAAGGATGCGGAATTGTAGAATAGCGGAAGAAGGGACAGAGCACATGGATATTCTATGAAAGCAACGCAATGGCAGCAACTGAGAGAGCAATGACCGAAAACCAGAAGCACCACTTGGGACCGTCAGATTAATTCGTCTGGGCCGATCCAGCCGGGAAAAACCCTCGCGCCGACGGACGCATTATTTTTTTGAGGGAAAAAACCGGGTGTAAAACCCCAAGGGGCTAATCTGACAAGTACAAAAAACAGGGAGGGAGGGTGGGTACCTCAAGACGACTGGCCAGTCGTGCTCATGTGCAGCGGTTTAGAGAACATGTGAAGATGTACGAGTAAAAAGAAATTGATCAGATGACTGCTCACTTGTGAGAAAAAACACGAGAAAAAACCGCTGTGACGAGAAAATACTTCTCGCCTCTGTCGCTGCGCTCTGCCGTCGAGAAGATACCATTTTCTTTCTTCTCGGATTTATTTTCATGACATGCTCAGAAGTGAGTGTACTTTCCCTCTAGTTTGAAATGAACTTTCGTACGGAACTGGAGTTCACGCGCCAGAAAAAAAAATCTTGGGTCAACCCACCTCGGGGAGCAGGGTTGACCGGATCCAACGGATCCAAATGTGACCTTTGTGCGTATATGGCGGGTAAAATCATTTTTGTACACATTGTGGTACGCACACGTGGATGGAGCTCCGGAGATAGAGCTTGTTGACTTTTTGTACGACGTTCACCCTTTTGGGTGCCTTGTGAGCGCCATTTTCAACATGGCAACAGTCAAGGACTAGGTCCAAGATAAAGTGTTCAGTTGAATCTGAAGGATCCGAGGGATCTGAGATCTGGATCCCGATCCCGATCCTTACTAATCGAACATGCCCCAAGAGTCCATCTTGGTCTGACACTTCACGGGTGACTTGTAGTTTTTAAGGACGTTTAGCAACGCGAAAGTTCGAAAGAAAATTCGAGTCTGGGAATGAGTACAGGAAAAAAGCTCGAAACTTCGAAAACTTGGACGCGAAGTTGCAGTGATTTGCGAAAGTAACTTTCTCTTTTCTCGGTACGCATTTGACTACAGGGAGTAGTAATTTTACAGCCCCCTGCTTGAGACTGACCTGCATATACGGTACGGTACTATAAGATTCAAATAACTTCGAGAAAAAGTCATTTCGCATTGCTAAACCTCACAAGTTTTCTTTTTCGAAATTGATTTTCGCGAAATATCACTACCACCAAAAGTTCGAATTTTCGCATTGCTAAACGTCCTTTTTATTGTGACTTGTACGAGTACTGCGCCAACATGCACGAATAGGAAAGAGGACCACGAGGGGAAAAGGTCTTATAGCTTTTCATGCTGTGTGTGGTTATTGTGAGGTTTTGTGTGAAATTTTAATTTTCGGCTATCACATTTCGTTAATTTCTTACTTTCTAGACGGGGTGCATGGACTCACACAATAACTTTTTTAGAAAACTGCCATAAAGCAGTTTTTATTGCTACTCCCTCCCTCCTTAAGCCTTCTAGTATATTAAGGGTGCGTTCTTAAATTCTCTAGCTTCTAGGAGAAGAAGAAAAGAGAAGTCGAAGAAACTGGGATTCTTCAAGAACGGGTCTCGAAGAATTCGGAGATATTTTGCAGATGTCAAGCAAAATGAAGCGCCAAAGGGGCCGCGATCTTGAGTGCCACGAATATAGTATGCGCTGTGCGTATTCGAAAAGGGAAATGCGTACACTCATGATCAACACGTGGCTTTTCGTTAATTTCTTACTTTCTAGACGGGGTCCATGGACTTACACAATAACTTTTTTTAGAAAACTGCCATAAAGCAGTGCGGAGCTCCGCCAGATTTGCTTGCGCAAGTCGGCTGCATGCATGCGGCGGCACGGCGGAGTGCGTAAGGTCAGGTAAAGCATTCCGCACCGCATACGCGCGTTCTCGACCGGCCGCGACCCGGTTGGAAATGTACGCAACCGTACCCTCGTCAGATAGCACTTCAGTATCTTCCAAACAAAATCACAGTCACCACTTCCGCTGCATAGCTCGCTGGGCATCCCATTGCTTCGTACCTTGCTAATCCCTACCCCTCTTTCGTGTACTTGCTTTTATATTTCTTTCTTTTTCCTTCTCTTCTTCCGTGGTTGGTTTCACCCTCTCATGGCTAGGTTGGTTTGGTTTTTATTTATTTATTTTTATTTATTTTATTTCACCGTCCAATGGCAGAAGCCAATGCAAAGGAGGGGGCGTTAGCCGGCTAGCCAGCCATGGCAAGAGAAGAAAAAGAAAGAAAGAAGGAAAGAAAGAATATGATAATCGGAATAAAAGAATTCATCAGCGGGGTGAAATTTATCACTATGTTTTAGAATTTCAATTCGTTGCCTGAACAGTACAAAGTACAAATATCAAGAGGGACGAACGAAAAGAGAAAGTAAAACAGAGCAGCTGAAAGGAAAGAAAACGGAGAAGGAATGTGGACTTGGCGGATTCATGCACTATTTAGAGCAGGGCAATGCACGAACAGAAGGGGCAAGCCCGTCAATGATTCATGCTTATAAAATTCCAAGCCTTATTTTATTGGTGAAATACATTATCAAAAAGGAGGGGATATAGTCAATTTGTCGTCATTTAGAGGGTGCAACAGTACTGTAGAAAACGATCTGTAATGTCTTCGCTTCGTTTCAAGTCCTCAATTCAATGACTGTCTTGCCATGCTACGAGGTACAGAAATAAATATTATATAAATAGTTGACACCCTCTTGTCCAGGGATCGCACAAACCCTGGGTTTGGATGGGTCTGTACGACTCAGGTAACCGTGCAACTTTGAACTTTGTATGCAACTTCTCTGCATGCAATGCACTCCCAAGTCTCCCAGTGTGTAGTTGCACCAAGATTATAACCCCCGGGGTTATGTACTCTTGATCTTGGTTGCACGTTACTTGGTATATCAGCTATTGACCGTTGCATTGGTCGATGTACGAGACGCACCCACAGTGTTCGTACGGTGGGGTTTTTTTTTTTTCATGTTCTTCATGTACAGAGAGCCGAGTTCATGTACATGTAGTACCAAGAGTACCTATTTATGTACTCTTGGTAGTACCTACCGAATGACTGGCAGGGCAGGGTTGGGCCTTTTTCTTGCGTTTCGTGTTCTTACCTCACACTGTCAGGTTTCTCATCATGAAAAAAAATACGAAAGTACGACTCATAGTACTCGCCCAGGCCATCCGCCTCTCCCCACCTGGACCCAAGCCTCGAGGCGTGGCTGAGCTGAGGTAGGGTGCTCTGCATCTGGCGGGATATACGGTACGCGTACAGGTGGGGGGGGGGGGAGTAGTTGACATCGTGATCGAATGAGTCACTGAGGAGTGATAAGCTCCAAGCGATAAGTAGTGGAAGCACCGGTATTGGCAAGTTGACAGGAGACAGCATCCACTTCTTCACACCCACTTCTCTTCTTGGGAAGGCTCGGAGCAGGTTTCAAGCAGTGGACACACGAAGAAACAGTAGATCTCATCGTCCTCTATTCTGCTCGTGGCCAGCAGAGACCTATTGCGGAGGACGTCTTCTAGTCGCGTCGGCAGTGCATGCGTGCCCATGCACCCATCGTCTAACAGGATGGTATTCCCGATGGTAAGTGCCTGAGTCGGGTATGAATGGGATAGGTTTTGGAAAAGCATGTGAATGAATAACATTATTGTTGATAACGTTTAAGTTGGAATAGTGTAGGGCATACATTGGGCTATACGTGTACATTTCCTGCGGGAGAGAGAGAACGAGAGAATGAGAGAATGTAATAGAGCGAGAGACAGAGAGACAGGTTATGTTAGGTTTGTTATCTTCATTTTACTTTCTACCTTAGGTACAGGCATCGCTGCCTTCCTCCTGTGGGTCATGAATGATGTCACGGCTCCTAGATTAAGATATCAAGCAGAATTGTAGAAGTGAGAGATGGCAATAAGCAGCTTCTTAGCATGCTGGCTTTGTGGAAAAAGAGAGATTAAAATCGTGTGCACCCTTGATGGCTCATTTTGAGTGCTTTGCGTCTTCTGGTATTCAAAGCCAGAGACAGGTGGAGACGTTCAAACAGTTCAGGAAATAATATGTTCTAGGCATGAATTTAGCAACAATGTGCTAGTAAACACAGAAGAGATTTGTCTACCAGGACGCAAGGAGTCAAGTTCGCAAAGACCTTTTAGTTGTGATTGGATTTCATATCTCCTGTATCTACTTCAAAATATACCCAATGCTGTAGACAGCAAGCTGTTTCGGCCATACATACCTCATTAGTACAGCTACTGGCCGAAAATTTGATTGAGAATTATTGTAATTTGCAGCGAAGAGACTACTTGAATTGAAGATGGTGTGTGTAAGGTTTTTAGTACGAAGCATGCGAAATAGGAGAGGGCGAGAATCCTGGTAATGCAGGGCATGACCTTGAGTGTCAAGACCAGACGGTGGGAAACGTGTGATCTCCCACGTAGGGAGCTACACACAAGTCCTCAATGACATTGCATAGCCGAAGTCGCTACCCATATAAAGGCTATTTCAAATGCCATCTTTTAGTAGTTTGGTGTCTTCCTACAGGCGTATGGCACACATGTATGCTTAAACTCAGGTAGCCGAGTGATTGTGCGGACCTCACAAGTGAGAGCGTTCCACAGCAGAGCACCAATTATTATTAAAGTTTACTGTTCTGGATGCTCTTCATCATTTTTGTTGGAACTAGGTCTCCGGACCTGGTGAGAGGGCAGAAATGCCTGTTTACTTGGTGAAGTAAAAATAGAATAAGCAAACAAACAAATGAGTCCAGGATGCAGTCAATTTGGGCGTTCGATGACTTGTAGGCTACTACAAGCGCAGGAAAGCGAGGCGCAGCTAGCAGAGTTCGTTACATGTAGATCTACATCTAACACTAGCCATAGACTAGTGCTAGTAGGAGTAGTAGATCTACACGACAAGTATTAGTTAGATCTACTAGAATAGTTATTAATAGAGAGGTTCCGCATAACGTAATTACGTTAGTAAAAACCGTAGTCGATCTACGGAAAGTCTTACGTAAACTGCATGCCGATCTGGGTTCCGCCATACGGAGTTTTCAAATCACGTAGCTGCCCTTGGCAACTCCGAACGTGGCAGTGTACGACCAGATCGACCTGGGGAGAGAGTCATAAATTTGTACCCCAATCCACTTACGGACCAGCTACGTTATCAGAGCTGACGTTTTCCGGTTTATTCAACTCTCAAAATAGAAATGAAAAACGTAAAATGTTTGGCACCTATGAAGTCAGGGGATGGCCCACGCCTGGTAAAAAAACAATGAGGAGTTAAATACAAAGAAAACGAACTGAAAATACAAAAGTAAATACGTTATCAGAGCCCTATCTACGTACTCTACGTAGACAACTTTCCGTAAGTGGAGTGCAAACTCGCGAATTCACGGGTTTTTCCCGCCCACTAACGTAAAGTTGCTCAACTTTACGTAGTGCGGAACCTCTCTAATATTATCAAGAGTGTTTATGGACTAGTACTAGCAGCACCCGCGGCCAGGCCGAACGTGGCATGCGGGTGAAGCAAGTACATGAACAGCACACGTGCTCAGCACGTGGTGGTGGCTACACGATTCGCACGCTTAACGCTTTGCGTGCTCAGTGCTTCTGTGGCTGCTTCCGCTAGCTACACGATTCGCACCCTTCGCGTGCTCAGTGCTTCTGCGGCCGCTAGCTACACTGTACATGTTCGCACGCTTCGCGTGCTCAGGGCAGCGCTGCTCCGCAGCAAGGCCTGAGCGTGACACGCAGACAAACACACGTCACAGGTGCCTCTTCTTTATAAGTAAAGATTAATAATTATTATTATCAAAAGACAATAATAATATTATTAAATTATTATTATTAAAAGACAATAAAGCGGGATTCACAGAAGCTTTTTTGCGATGCGACACGCGATGCGACGCGATCTGCGACGGACGCGTGCGATGCGAACTCGCGAAATACCATTCACAGAAGAAGTCAACGATGCGACAAAGTTTTGCTGATTTGGGTACGCCACCATGATATTCGCGCGGTTTGACACAACTTGAAAACATTTATAGGCAACTCTTGCACCTTTGTACAACTTTGCTGTAGAAAAGGTCAAAATCGTACACCAAATCGCTTGTCGCATCGCATCGCATCGCAAAAGTTGAGCCAAGCTCAACTTCTGCGATGGCCTGCGAAGGCCCAGTTGCGGCAGTTGCGTGGGGTGCGACATGGCTGCGATTTGGGGTTTTCCCGGTTTCGCGTCAGTCGCATCGCGTGTCGCATCGCAAAAAAGCTTCTGTGAATCCCGCTTTAAACGATGAAAATATGAAGAAATGGTGTAGGGAAAAATAATATATTTTATTATGGATTCAAACAAGTTTTCTTACAACACTCATCAGGAATCGTCGTTGTACTAAAGGACACTGAAACAAAAATTGACGATTCCTGATGAGTGTTGTACGAAAACTTGTTTGAATCCATATTTTTTCCCTACACCATTTCTTCATATTTTCATCGTTTTATTGCACATCGTCTCCACCGTTTTTACATTAAAAGACAAGTCAATCATTGAATGTAGTTTATTTTTGTTCTTGCAAAAAGTGCAACTCTCTCGGCCACTCCGGCCACTGGCACTGGCTATATATATTATAGTATAGCGTCACGACGCCAAGTTCTTGTGTGACCAGAGTGACAGTACGGGTAGAGGATTCGTCGAAGCTTAGCTGGCCGCTTGCTTTTCCTATCCTATTATTATGACAAGAATTGTCCGACTAAGTACGTGGAAAATGCGGTGCACAAGGAGCTGGCTGACGGTATCAAGTAACTTAGTTTTTGCTGAGCCTAGAGGCTTTGGATTTCTGCCTGCTCGTGGTAGAGGTAGGAGAGTAGAGTTCTTTCCGGCCATTTGCAACTGTCGCTCCAGGTAAGGCATGACGTTAGGAAAGATAAGTACTGAGGCCACCGCGCACCAGTGGTGACCTACATTGTAACTACACCTGCTACTGCTGTTTTCTCTCAGAAACTCGACACTTGCGAGCTAGATAAAAAAACACCTCTCTGTCAGACCAGCGTGGCACTGGACATTGAACATTGTCTTGGTGTTGTGTGTGTTGTGTGTGTTGTGTGTTGTGTGTTGTGTGTTGTGTGTGTGTGTGTTGTGTGTGTGTGTGTTGTGTGTGTGTGTGTGTGTGTGTGTGTGTGTGTGTGTGTGTGAATTTGCAGACATTAAGATGATACGCCGAATAGAAAACTCTTCGCTAGAATCTTTTCCAATAATAAGTTGTCTCTCTGTGTGGTGTTTCACAGCTGGGGAGAATACCGCCAAGGGCAAAGCTGCTCTTTTCTTTGCTGCTCGTGGTGCTGGCAATCGACACATGTAACGCAGAATGCCCTAAAGGCAAACATCAAAGTGGCAACGCTACCAGCCCCTGTGTTCGTAAGTTGTCACAATGTACAGCTTGTACCCAATATCTTGATCAGGTCTGACCTCTACTCCTGACCTGGCCTGGGTGGCACTATGATAAGTTTGAATCCGGTGAACACTGCATTTTTGCTTTTGCCTTCGGAGCCTGACGCACTTTACAAAACCACTCTGTGACGAGCCAAATTGCAATGATAGAGTGTAGTACGGCACGCTATTATTCATGGGACTGTGTTCTTCATGCAAGTGCTTGCAGCGGCAGTGGCAACCCAGCCGATTTACTTGCCCCAGGCGCTGCTACGTGTGACTCTGAAATTTCCCGCGTTTTCGTCAGTTGCCATGGAAAAAAATTCACGATTCAGACGCTGACGCACTATTTCTGACATAGTGCGATCGGGGCCTGATCCCTTGCCACATCTGATGCCAAAACGTCTAAGGACAGAGAATAAGAGATCGAGGCAAGGTGTTCAAAATTGCGTCAGGTAGGCCATGGCAAAATGTATGGAGAAGCAGATCCCGGACCCAGATTCAAACTGTGGATAGTCTCAATCCGGCCTAAAATTTGACTTTCCAGCGGGACTATCGTGTATGAATGGACTGCATTGGAATATGCATTTATGTATTTGCCGTGGAGTATTCCAGTAATAGTACCCTGGGCATGCCTCCCTATTGGCTTCAAATAATGGTGGAATAAGGCCTACATTTGCTGCGATTCGAGTTTCATGTTTGTGCGATCATCCATATTGGAAAACCATTCTACATCGGCTAATGGGTCCACTTTTCTTCATTTTGGTGACGCAAAGTTATTTTAAGTACAGCCTTTGGATAGTCCATATATTATGGAACATTTCCTGAAACGCTGCAGGGGACTGATGGTTGGATAATCGTGGTCAGTTTGAATAGCAGTTTTCTATCATATAATTATACTTTTTCGTTTCGTGAAAATTATCGATAATGCCGGATGGCCCCTTAAAGTGTTCTCTCAAATTTTGTATCTGAGCTCGAGTGTATGTCTTATCGGAGCATGTGCCTGGTGAGTTGCACAGTACCTGATTGTGTTCTGAATATGCACTGTGTTGTGTTCAGCTCTCAAGACCATCTGCCCAGGCACAGATAAGGCAATGTACTCCTGGATGGCTCTCGCTGGCTTGCCGGTTCATCCGCACGCTAACGAGCCCAGCCTCACCGAAAAGGCCAATCTGAGGCAAGCCCGCCGTTTATGCCAGCGTCGAGGATACGACGTGATCGATTATAGCGCCTTCACCAACAGGACCAAGGGCGTGCGCGGCTGCATGGAAGCATTGCTCCAAAAGATGATGGCGAGCACTTACGGCAGCACTATCATCGTATGGACGTCGCACGTGTACAGAGGGGATCATGTCCTTTTCAAGCAGGACAAGAACAACCATAGTGAAGCGGTATTTGACCGGGCTGGAACAACCCTTAATGACGTCATTTGCGAAGGTAGGCTGTTGCCTTTTTAGCCACATGGGGGAATGCTCAGGGCAGCAGGGCAAGCAGTGAAAGCACAGGGTAGGGACATTAACAGGGTAGGATACATGAACGCAGAGAAATAAACAACAGCATGTGTGCCTCACAACCCGGGCTCCCCGCTCTAATGGGCGACTTACTGTTGTAGGTCGTACCGGGGACAAACTGGGTAACCAGTGAAGGAACAATCCCCATTCCATTTTATGTACAGAGTGAAATGCCATTGCATGGACTATCCTGTCCCATTGGAAAAACTCGGACAAGAATTCTGAATTCCGCGGCAAATAAAATCCGCGGGGAAAAGAGGGTAATTCTGCGGCACTTTCTGCAGTAACATCAAAAATCTGCGGCATTTTCTGCATGTTTTTCATCCTCCTTGTAAAGGATATGCAGAAAGGAGTACTTTTTGCACTATCCTTTGCTTTTTTTACTTTCCTTTTCCACCAACTGATTAGGAGTGAAGAATCTTGGAGAGACCTTCACTCGCCTTGACTGGCAAGAGCAATGTGTTCAAACAGATCCCAAAGTAGCTTTTCTGCAGCTTTCTCATCAGTAATTTACCTGCAAAATTCAGTTTCCGGGGGACCGCCGGCAAAGTTGGACATTGCCCAGCTCTTGCGATCTGCCCCATACAAATTTGGCCAACAGTGGTCTGTGAACCATTCACGCCGGTGATCGCCGGTGCCGGGAGCCAGACTTTGTCAACATTTCAAACCAAGACTCATCCTAAATTTTCCTAAATTGAAGCTAAAGATGAGGTCCATTCGTGTAGAAGTAGTTTCATGATCTCCGGTAAAAGGTAGCACCGAGTGGCCATCACCGAACGGCATTGAACTACGGAAGAACAAAGAATTCAGGCTTCAATTGGCAAATCTGTCGTAGCATTTGGGCGCATTCTGTACTACTTTGTAGTAGATTTGGTACTCGCACCGTATGCGCAACGGGTCGGGAGCTGGCTCACCGCCGATTTCTTGCGATCTCTTGCGGCACCAATTTTGCGTATGTGAACCAACCCTTAAGCGGAATTCACAGAAGCTTTTTTGCGATGCGACACGCGATGCGACAGGCGCGAAACCCCAAATCACAGCCATGTCGCACTCCACTCAACTGCCGCATCTGGGCCATCGCAGAAGTTGAGCTTGGCTCAACTTTTGCGATGCGATGCGACAAGCGATTTGGCGTACAATTGGGACCTTTTCTACAGCAAAGTTGTACAAAGGTTCAAGAGTTGCCTATAAATTTGTACAAATTGTATCAAACCGCGCGAATATCACGGTGACGTAGCCAAATCAGCAAGATGTTGTCGCATCACTGACTTCTTCTGTGAATGGTATTTCGCAAGTTCGCATCGCACGCGTCCGTCGCAGGTCGCGTCGCATCGCAAAAAAGCTTCTGTGAATCCCGCTTTAAGCAGCACAGCAAAGGAGGAATAATAATAATAATAATAATAATAATAATGGAACAAGGCAGCAAATGCTAACCCTTCCGCTTCTGTCTCTTTTGAGACAAAGGAGGAATAAAAGGTACCGTAAAGTCGCGGTTAAAAACCGGGTTTGCATACAAGCACATCGCGGATAGAAGCCTGAAAATCAAACGGGTCAAATGCATATAAGCCTGTCGCGTGTAGACGCCTGGCTTCTATGCAAGCGCGGATCGGGTAGGTCAAAAGTGCATGCGCTATGTACAGTGCATAGTAAAACCATACCTGTAGTCAGTGGTAGATCTACGCCTGGCTTCTATGCAAGTGTGGTGCATAATTATAAGCTTGGTTTGCATACAAGCCTGGTTTGCATTAAAGCCTCATGCAGAAAGCGGCTTATGTGCTTATAAGCCCGGCTTTTATCCGCGACTTTACGATATGTACTATAGAATTGTAAACGAATAAATTGTTGATTCGAACACTGATGCTCCTGAGGATATAGGGGCAAGGCTATGGTTGGAGGTACTGAGAGATAAACAAGGCACACCATAACAATAAAATGTTACACATCTTTTGGTGAGTATGAATGATATCTAGAGTACATAACCCCCCAGAGTGTGCAGCTTGGGGCCTTTTCTACTATGGGTGTCTGTCACGGCGGAATTCCGTGATTACATCATATTTGGCGCAGATCTGAGGCGGGAAATGGCGTAGTGCGTACAACTGAGAAAACGGATTGCAAAAGAATATCTGCCATGCACACGCACGCCACCGGCCACGCGATGGTACAAGCCATGGAGTAGTGCTCCCGGGTCCAGGTACGTACCGAGCACCTTACGTAAAAACTTACGTAGACAACGTGTCAAATATCGGTGCCGTTTGGTCTTGCATTGTGACCACAATAATAGAAAAGCTGACAGGATTGCTTTTCTAATTAATACGGTATGCACTGTTTCGGGGGCCTGACCTATCCATTATGTCGAAATTCATGGAACGTGCCAGCAATTTCCAGGAAGCCCATTCTTCAGGCTTGCTTCCTGCTGTGCTTTTTTAATGTTTCTCCAAATGCCTCTATACCTGTCTGTTGTCCTGCAGCTAAATGGATTCATGCTTTCTCCTCAGCATACGTCGCAGCAACACCGGCATCGAGACGTGCCGTTACCCAGCCTTTTGCGCGTGAAGCTTGTCAGCAGTACGGACTAAACTTTATAACCGTGGACTGGCTGCAAGCACATGGCCATGTATTCAGAGAGCGCTGGCTACAACGATTGCCTATAGAGCATAACCCTCATCACGGCACCAAGCCCTTCCACGTCGAACCAATCTCGGCGGATGGCGAACACCATTACAGAACCGTAACGTTTAGCAGCGGAAGTCATACGATTCACAACGCCCCAAGCGATGAGCAAGCCCGGATCCTCTGTGTCAGTAAGTGAGGCGATAATAAATGACTGGCTATGCGCAAGCAGTATAGCCATTCCCTGTCCCTTATCCCTGTGTCTTGCTTCAACATGTCCTTTTCAAACATGTCCTTGTAGCAAAAGTCCTTGCCCTCTCCCCTGCCCCCCATATCATACCATGCATTGTGCATGCTCAAATTTTGATTGTTGTTGTTGGTGGGAATACCTAACGAAGAAACCTCCTTTGACTGATCGTTTTTGGGAGCATGTATAAGGATTCAACGAGAGAGAATGCTTTTCCGTCAGGGAACATAACACAAATGTCTTGAACAACACTTTTTTGGATAAGCAATCATTTAGATAATTGGAATTCTACTTTCATAAACTGCAGAAGAGTAACGCAATTGAGCTGCTCGTATTCTTTTTCTGCACAGAATTCTGTGAGAACAAAGGTGTTGTTGCAGCAAACATGAGTTGTGTGTGTAACCGCACCACATCCTACGGCGAACGATGTGAAAAGGGTAAGACAGCAGGCCTTAAAATTCGTGTGTGTGTGTATGTGTGTGTGTGTGCAAGCGTGCGCGTGTTTGATAATCTGAGTACACCCATTTTAGAGAAGGTGAAGAACACTAACAAGATAGCGGGAAAACAGCAGAGATCTGCCAGATGTATTTGAATTTTATTATATTTGGATTTCCCAAAGGCTTTGGGCTTGTCGAGGGGATCTCCTGCAAGAAGAATGAAATGAAAACTTTATGTGGAGGGAGCAGTTAATCGAGGATAGGCTAAGGAAATAGATCAGAGCATACAAAATCTGGTAATTAAGGAGTTGGGATACCATAAGTGTAATGTGACAACTATTTATAGCTAGAGTATGTAATGCCTGACGTGTGTGTAGCCTGCAGTTTCACATACAACTCCGTGTATTTCATTGAGAATTCTCACAACTTGAATGCTACTATGCTCACACGATCAGAAGTCTTCTCTGGAATAATAGCCCCCCCCCCCCCCCACCCTGTAATGACCGTTTTTGAAGGAAAGTATACCCTGAATCCTGAATCAAATTTTCACCAGTTGTAGTCTTCGGGGTGCTCTGGGTCGAATGGTCTTGGTCCGAGGAAGCTGAGACGCTCCCTTCCTCCTTTATTTCCAATCGAATTTATTCCCAATCGAATTCACGCACTTCCAACAAAACTGGGCGAGTGCGCCGTACTAGATGGGGATTCTAAAAGCGCGGATGACCGCAATTGGCCCATATGTTGTAGTCTTTTGGGTGCTGAGTAGACTGGTTTTGGTCTGAAAAGGCTGCGGTGCAGCGTTCAGCCCTTATTAGACACACACCCTTAGGGCCTGGTCAGACTGGTTGCCTGACGAAAAAAGAAAAGCGTCCAGAATTTGGAATCGCGATCGACGTCAAATTCCTTCACCTTGGGGATCGCCAACACCTTGCAACCATGCATATGAGTTTTGTTGTTGTCCGTGGCCAAATTAGCTCCCTCGATATCAAGATGAAAAAATCAGTGAATATCAGCGTCAATGGCGTATCAGCGTCAATGGCGTATCAGCGTCAAACTCCTGTTTGGAGCAGCAAAGCATGGTATTGCCGCTCTGGCGGTAAGTTACTATGGAGATTCGGATCATAATCACAGGATTTTTTCGTTTCTGACCAGGCCCTTAGCAAAAAACGTTATGTTGTAATGGTATTACCGCAAGGGGGAAAATACCGGGATCTGGGTTAGACCTTTAGCAAGATGCATGCTATCTTTAGTATGCTGTTGCCACGAGAATAGCTTTTATTTCGTGCGGTTCAACCATTTATGTCATCATATACGCGATACAAGGTGAAATGGGTACAGACTATGCAACATTTGGCCAAAAAGCATACCGTTTGTCACAGCGATAAATCAGCCTCCATAACGTTTTCACGCTGCCGCTTCAGCGCTATTTGGGTGATGAAGGTGCGAGTACCGTAAAAATAGCATTACTGTTATTTGATAAGGGTGTCTATTCCCAGTTCAAAAAAATTCCCAATCCATCAAGGGTGAGTAAGCGGTCACGTGCTCATGCGTACACCAGTCACCTGGTCGCCGTGCCTGCAGGCTACGCCGTTGACAGCGTTCCTGTCACTCGAGTTGCACCTTTGAACCTTTGATTTGAACCTTGGTGTGAAAGCTGTAGCATGCACTGGCCCTGCATGCATGGTAACCATATGACTCGTGTACGAGTACGCATGAACACGTGACCGCTTGCTTGCATTTTCTCTGTGTCAGCTGCTCGGTCATTATGGGTGGTCAAATTTCACTATTTCCACTGCTCATTGAGTAAGGGGTCATTCGTAGATATCAAAGGTTATTCTTTTGAATTCAAATTATTTCTGTTATGAGCTGGGACGGGTTGACCAATTTCCTTTCAGGATACATTGAAACATGTCCAGAGAAGTAGGAGTATTGACACACGCGTGACAGGGTGCTGTATATGCACGTTCTGAGAGGAGTGGTATAGGGTGGGTTTGTGTTGAAACGAAATTGATTCGTTTCGTTATAAATATCAATACTTACGGCCGGCCCCTAATGGGCCATTTACACTACGGTCAGAACGTGGCGTACGTGACGTTTTCGTCTGGATAGCCATGACAACATGGAACGTAGCGGGAAAATCGTACCTCTGGTACGAAATCGTAGACGACGTATCCAGACTCCTGTACCGAGTTTTGTTCTGTCGTTCCCAGCAGTTTGTGTCCAAGAGAAGCTGAACACGCAGCTGTATGAGCAGCGTGTGAGTGCCTGTGTGAATGCACCTGCATGAAAACGACGTATGCCAGTACGTCATGCTCCAAAACGTCACGCGTATTGTAACGTAGTATGAATAGCCTATAACATACCATCATTTCCTCTTTCTCACGTCTTGTTTGTGCGTATGCGATGGCTGATGCAGCATGCGACTGTTTGAATCAAGGTCATTGTGACGACACGGGTAAATGCATCTGCCCGAAAGAATTTACCGGTAACAAGTGCCAATCGGGTAAGTATGAATGAATATTTTTTACAGCTCTTATGGGATTCCCAAAGCATACCTCCATGTTGACGTGGCATCCAGTGACTGTGTGAGCCGTTTCCGTTTCAACAAACCAACGAATAATTATATAATAAAACAATTGAAAAGACAAGCTGAGCCAACATTTGTGTAATTTAATTGATAGCTTGCATAGACCTCGGTCCTACCCGTAGGACCTACCGGTAGGACCATCATACAGAGACATGCTGCACAGTCTTTGTTATGACACTGACCTAAAACCTGACCCTTAACTGTTGCTATGGGGCTAATGAATGAGTCCACAGATTTTAGACGTGATCGCAGAAGGTATACTATGAAATTCCATGGAAATAGCCCATGGTTACCATGGAAACGTACTATGGAATACTAACGTACTATGGAATTTTGCATTCCACCGCCTTGGCAGGCTAATGTTGTAATGAAAACATTAGGTCTTCGCCATGATTCACTTTGGACAGTGTCTCTAGAGCTCCGACACGAGCATGTGCGGCCGTTTTGACAATTATTAAAATGGCACATATGCAATGCTCTGGACAAAGTCTTGAATTTTACGCCATTACTGTGCCTTATAAAGACCCAACATCAACAATTGTTTCCAGAAAATTCCCCAATAAAAAGCACTTTTGCGCCGCGATTTTTTGGAGCTGTGTCGAGTGACCCTGAGTATGCAGCCTTTGTCTGTGTTTCAACTATGTGTGAAGAAAGTAGAACCCCATTTATTATTTTTTATGATGAGTTCGACTCCCTACTGGACTTCTGACTGTTTATAGGACAATGGCTGCCTACTGAGTAAAACATCTATTTGTCTCTCAGTCTTTTTGTCTGTCCATTTTTGTGTCTGGCTGATTTACTCTCCTGTTTTCTTTCCCCTCGGTGTGTGATATGCGATGCAGTTGTGTGCACGAATCCCTGGGTGAAAAAGAACAAAGAATGTGAATGTAAACCCAGACTAGATGGACCTAAGTGCACAGAAGGTAAGGGCTAAATAAACAGCTGTAATATAATATAAGGGGAAAAGAAAGATGCTGTCATTTTAGGCCGCGTGTCAACGAGTGTATGACCCATGGGTATATTTACAATTTCTAGAATCATACTCATCATTGGAAGGAAAATATTTCTCTCTTATCTCGGTGGAGCAAACTCAAACCACCAACCTATTTTGTGCTATTTACGTGCAATAATAGATACCATATAATTGATTATATGGGTATGAGTTGGTGATACTAACTTCTTTAGGGTCTGATATTGTATGGGGGTCTGTTCCTATCTGTGTGTTTTGGGAAATACGTGAATGCACCCAATCTCTACTGCAGTATGCCATTGCTTGAATCATGGGAAGTGTGCTGAAGACGGTACCTGCGTCTGCCAGAAAGGTTTCCATGGAGACCTGTGTCAACAGAGTAAGTAACTTCTGAATGAAATATATAATTATGCATGTTTCTTTGAAACACATGCAGCTGCGAAATGTGAAAATTATGCTCAGGGGATGTGCATTTTACTCAGATAAACACGGATATACTTGAAATGGACTACGGTATCAATAGGGGGGGGGGGGGCAGTGTATGTCTTAAAAGAGTGTGTACTCCAGTCATGCTCTGCTGTACCTCCACCCACTCAGCCTACGCCTCACTCTTAAGCTTTTCATTTTTACTTTTCGGTGAATCAGATCCCTTGGCAGTCCCCTCATCTCCCAAATCTTCACGACCCGAAATGATGCTACCCACACTACCTCCCAAACCAGAGGCCAAACATTCAGTAGTATATTTCTTCCCCCATTCATGTCCCGGCCAGGCCTTTACAGTCTCCCATTAATTTTCTCAGTTTTTACCGCTTTAATGCACTACCCGCTATCATTCCATCCCAGCGTACCTTGCCTGCTTTCGCGCTAGCTGCTCACAATTTCTCCTTGGGCACCCTGTGAGAAGGCCATAGGCCTGTTTGGTATACCCAAGTAAAATAATAAATACTACTACTACTACTTCTACTGTACAAGAATGTCCTTTGCATGTGTACTGTGTTATGTTCAGACTACTATTTCTACTACTGCTGCTGCTGCTGCTGCTGCTGTTGCTGTTGCTGCTGCTGCTGTTGCTGCTACTACTACTGCTGCTGCTACTGCTACTGCTACTACTGCTACTACTGCTACTTCTACTACTTCTACTACTTCTGCTACTACTACTACTTACAAGAATGTACTTTGCATGTGTACTGTGTTATGTTCAGCTTTTAAGACAAAGTGCCTGGGTACAGATAACGCAACGTACACCTGGATGGCTCTCGCCAGCTTGCCGTGTCATCCAGACCTGGACGGTGACAGCTGCCAGAAGAAAACGAACTTGACGCATGCCCGCCAGATGTGCAAGAGAAGAGGATACGACGTGGTCGAATTTCATGCCTTCACAAACCGGTCTATGAACGTGCGCGACTGCATGGAAGCCTTGCTCAACGAGATGATGGAGAGCAGTTTCAAGAGCCCTATCACAATATGGACATCTTTCTTGAGAGAGTTGAGGGATAGTACCAAGATGCATGTCTTGTACAAGCAGGGCAAGAACGGCTTAAGAGAAGAGGTACATGATAGAACCGGAGCAGGCCATCATGATGTCATCTGCGAAGGTATGCTGTTGCATTGTGATAGAAAAAGAACGTGTGAGAGAGGTGCTGAGTAGCCAGCAATGGGTGGTTAGAGTAGACAATGATATTGACAAGATTAGAGGACTGAAACAGAGAGCAAGAGCGATTACAACCAAGGTTTCCCACGTCAATGGGAAACCTACGGTTCTAGCCAGGGTCAGATCCACACATGATTAGCCAACTGACCACATGTGCGGAGAAACATTTCATGTGATTATTATTAGCAAGAGTACATAACCCCCCAAAGTGTGCAACTTGACTATGTGTGCTGTCCAGACAGAATTTCAAGTTGACGTCATTTTGATGATGCAATGCACACTGTACACGGATTATCAGACGAATCCGGAACCTATGGTTGACCCACGCCGATCTGATCCTGTACAAATTATTGCAAAGAAAAACGTGTGATGCGTCAACTTGAAACTCTTTGGGGATTGTGTACTCTTGGTTATACCAATGGAGTGGTATAATATCGGCAAGAGTACAAAGAAAAACAAGTGATGCGTTGACACCCGTGCACATGTTGTAAATCACCGGTGCAAGGAGCTTTGCGTCATAAATAATGACGACAACTTGAAATTCTGTCGGGACAGCAGGGTATGTGGGAGTTGCACACTCTGGGGGTTATGTACTCTTGTTATTAGGTATGACCAACGTTAGTGCCACATAAAAATGCACTGCCACATAAGGCTACTTCGAAGTTCATACATCTTATGTGCAACATTGGCAGTCCAGTATGCACATACATGTGCAAACATGCAGTACAAAATCACAGGCAGGCTGTACACACTGCACTGTGCTGTGTTTGGCGTGCATGTATGTACATGCACTGCATTCAAAGTGACGTCACAAGTACTTGAATGCGACTTCGAGAATATTCGAATGTGACAAACCGAACGAATCATGTTCGAATATTCGAGTATTGTTATTAGAGAGGTTCCGCATAACGTAATTGGGTAGCCTTCGCATAGCCCAATTTGACCAAAGAAATGAGGAACGAGCAAGGTCATGAGGTGAACACACTTGTGTAATAACCCGACATCAAGAGTACATAACCCGCAGAGTGTGCAACTCCCTCATACCCTGCTGTCCCGACAGAATTTCAAGGTGACATGATTAATATGATGCAATGCTTCTTGCACCAGTGATTAACAACATGTGTACGAGTGTCAACGCATCACTTGTTTTTCTTTGTACTCTTGCCGATATTATACCACTCCATTGGTATAACCAAGAGTACACAATCTCCAAAGAGTTTCAAGTTGACGTCAAGTTGACGATGAACCAAAGCCTATCTGATCCTGTACAATTGTTTTGCAAGGAAAAAGGTGTGATGCATTGACGTCCGCACACATGTTGTACATCACTGGTGCAAGGAGCAACTTGAAAGTCTGTTGGGACAGCAGGGTATGTGGCAGTTGCACCCTGTGGGGGGTTATGTACTCTTGGCATAGCCGCTGGGTGATTTGCAACTATGGCTCGGTGCTGCTCCATGAAGGCTTCCCAGCCCCATGCCTGCAAATATTGACCGATACCTTAACCTGGCTCGGAATAAAGAAAAACAATTGCACTGACTTATTGGGTTGCATTGAGATAGATTTCAGTGCACCCTTTATTCATATTGCGTATATGTATTTTCTACCCACCACTGGATGTGCCCTTGTCTTGCAGCCAAGTGGCTTCACGACAACAACTCAGCATATACCGTAGCAACCCCAGCATCCAGACGCATTGTCACTGAGCCATTCGCAGAGGAGGCATGTCAGCAGTACGGACTTCAGCTCGTAACCGAAGACTGGCTGCGAGCACATGGCGATGTATTAAGAGAGCGCGGGCTCGAGAGGTTGGCTCTGAAGCATGAACGTGACCAAGCCGCTTACCACGTCAAGGCAATCCGGGTCAATGGTGGCTCCCTTTACAGAACCGTAACATTTAGCGAGAACAATCAAGAGTTTCACCACACGAGAAGCAATGACAGAGCCCAAATCCTCTGTGTCGGTAAGTGAGATCATGATAAGTGTAACGTAGTAGTGTAGCGCTAGTCGGGGTCAGCAGCGCTGTATTTCGTATGTGTATTTCGTATGTGTATGTGTACGTGTGTGTATGTGTGTATGTGTGTGTGTGTGTGTGTTTATTTTGGTTTGAATTTGAATTCTTTATTCTCATGATGGCCCCATCGCCAATAAGAGATACATTTATGAGAAGGTGAGATTGTGGGTTATGCAGTTGGAAAGTGATTTACATTACTTTGAATTTGGTTATACTGTACGTTGAAATCCGCTGAGAGTTAAGTGGCCATGGGGCGCTGGCCGTACAGCCATGAGCACTGCTGGTCTTTGCTGACAGGTCTCTGATAAGACAGACGACTGGTGTGTACGACTGACTTTTCAGCAGGGCTGCAACAGGTAGGGGTTTGGTTGGGCAACGAGTTCGGGTATGTTTATCCGGGTAGCACGAATACCCTATCAGGCACTTGCACTACATAAGAAAGTGTACAGTAAGCAGGTGGCCATGCTTTTTACATGCATTGTTGTGGCAAACAAATTCACGGTTCGCGCTGGAAGCCGAGTTTTCCGTATCCGTAGGAACGCCACCACCCTTCAAGGAAACCCTTCTACAATACAATAATAGTTATTCTTAGTTATAATTATCCACTGAATAAAGACCCCCATTGATTTGTGACCACAGATTGGTCATAAAAACGAATCAGAAAAATAAAAGCTGTTAATAAAAACTTCTCAGCACTATACAAGTTGTAAGTTGACATCAGATTTCTTTTTTGGATCCACTAAGGTGTGACTTTGCTATTGCCTCTGTGTGTGGGTTCATAGCAACCCACGCATGTCTTACGCAGTGGAATCCTGGTGGGATTTTTGGATGCCAACACTCCTTTTGCTTGGTGGATTCTTTCGTGGGCAGTGTTTTTTTGTAACGTAAAATTTTGCAGTATTCTTTTCTTTCCTGTTCATTTTCAGTCGTTGTCACTGTCAGGTTGTTGTAACAGTACAGCAGTTGTCCGTTCTACTCCATTGTTTCATCTGTTTTGCCATTGCTGCTAGCTGATTCTCTTTATTTGCCACTGCCCCTCATAGTGCCCATGCTTGGGTGGAGGGCGGCGTGACCCATTTAGGGTAGCTGTATCATAGTAGTAGTAGTAGTAGTAGTAGTGTGTGTGTGTGTGTGTGTGTGTGTGTGTGTGTGCGCGTGCGTGCGCGTGTGTGTGTATGTATGTGCACGGGTGTGTGGTCACAAAGAACGTGACTAGTACGTCCAGAATTCAATTAACATGCATGATGACGTAGGTAAAGAGGAAGCACAGCGAGCGTTCCTGGTACGTACGTCGTCACTTTGACGGGGTGTGTCAAGCCAGCGCCAGGCATTCAGCCGTAACACATGACAAAGCCTCAGCTCGCCTCTCTCAGCAAAATGATCACGATAAACAAGCATTGTGAACGGTTCTCAGCTTTTAAGAGGGTTCGAGTTGATCTAAAATAGTTTCCTGGTAACTTCGTGTGTGTGTGTGTGTGTGTGTGTGTGTGTGTGCAAGCGTGCGCGTGTTTGATAATCTGAGTAGAGAAGGTGAAGAACACTAACAAGATAGCGGGAAAACAGCAGAGATCTGTTAGATGTATTTGAATTTTATTATATTTAAGGATTTCCCAAAGGCTTTGGGCTTGTTGAGGGGATCTCCTGCAAGAAGAATGAAATGAAAACTTTGGCTGCGTTCGTTTTTAGCTACCTGGTAGAGTAGAGTAGAGTCACACTACCGATAGAGGTAGATGGTGGAGGCAAGTGTACGAACGCTGTTCTACCAGATCTAGTAGTTTACACAATGTGTACGTGAAATGTTTCTTTTTGTATGGAGTTGTGTACAAATCCTTGATCTTGCTGGAAATCCTGTAGCTCTACCAACTTCTACCGGATTCTACCAACTTTTTCCCGGTAGAGCCGGTAGAGGAAAGTAGAATCTACCCTATTGAGTAGAATTTTTTTTCAAAAAACGAACACCTCTACTGTAAGAAGTAGTTTCTACCCAAACGTAGATCAAAAACGAACGCCCCCTTTATGTAGAGGGAGCAGTTAATCGAGGATAGGCTAAGGAAATAGATCGGAGCATACAAAATCTGGTAATTAAAGAGTTGGGATACCGTCAGTGTAATGTGACCACTATTTATAGCTAGATGGAGTGTGTAATGCCTGACGTGTGTGTAGCCTGCAGTTTCACATACAACTCCGTGTATTTCATTGAGAATTCTCACAACTTGAATGCTACTATGCTCACATGATCAGAAGTCTTCTCTGGAATAATAGCCCCCCCCCTCCCACACCCTGTAATGACCGTTTTTTTTTAAAATGCAGAATTTTGAAACTTTCCTGTGGCTCCATAACGTTGCAGCTTCAGCGCTATTTGGGTGATGAAGGTGTGAGTACCGTAAAAATAGCGTTACCGTTATTTGATAAGGGTGTCTATTCCCAATCCCCAAAAAATTTGACAGCATTCCTGTCACTCGAGTTGCACCTTTGAACCTTTAATTTGAACCTTGGTGTGAAAGCTGTAGCATGCACTGGCCCTGCATGCATGGTGACCAGGTGACTCGTGTACGAGTACGCATGAACACGTGACCGCTTGCTTGCATTTTCTCTGTGTCAGATGCTCGGTCATTATGGGTGGTGAAATTTCACTATTTCCACTGCTCATTGAGTAAGGGGTCATTCGTAGATATCAAGGGTTATTCTTTTGAATACAAATTATTTCTGTTATGAGCTGGGACGGGTTGACCAATTTCCTTTCAGGATACATTGAAACATGTCCAGAGAAGTAGGAGCATTGACACACACGTGACAGGGTGCTGTATATGCACGTTCTGAGAGGAGGGGTATAGGGTGGGTTTGAGTTGTAAATATCGATACTTACGGCCGGCCCCTAATGGGCCATTCACACTACGCCCAGAACGTGGCGTACGTGACGTTTTCGTCCGGATAGCCATGACAACATGGAACGTGGCGGGAAAATCGTACCTCTGGTACGAAATCGTAGACGACGTATCCAGACTCCTGTACCGAGTTTTGTTCTGTCGTTCCCAGCAGTTTGTGTCGAAAAGAAGCTGAACACGCAGCTGTATGAGCAGCGTGTGAGTGCCTGTGTGAATGCACCTGCATGAAAACGACGTATGCCAGTACGTCATGCTCCAAAACGTCACGTGTATTGTAACGTAGTATGAATAGCCTATAACATACCATCATTTCCTCTGTCTCACGTCTTGTTTGTGCGCATGCGATGGCTGATGCAGCATGCGACTGTTTGAATCAAGGTCATTGTGACGACAAGGGTAAATGCATCTGCCCGAAAGAATTTACCGGTAACAAGTGCCAATCGGGTAAGTATGAATGAATATTTTTTACAGCTCTTATGGGATTCCCAAAGCATACCTCCATGTTGACGTGGCATCCAGTGACTGTGTGGGCCGTTTCCGTTTCAACAAACCAACGAAATTGTTAAATAAAACAATAAAACAATTGAAAAGACAAGCTGAGCCAACATTTGTGTAATTTAATTGATAGCTTGCATAGACCTTGGTCCTACCCGTAGGACCTACCGGTAGGACCATCATACAGAAACATTCTGCACAGTCTTTGTTATGACACTGACCTAAAACCTGACCCTTAACTGTTGCTATGGGGCTAATGAATGAGTCCACAGATTTTAGACGTGATCGCAGAAGGTATACTATGAAATTCCATGGAAATAGCCGATGGTAACCATGGAAACGTACTATGGAATTTTTCATTCCACTGCCTTGGCAGGCTAATGTCGTAATGAAAACATTAGGTCTTCGCCACGATTCACTTTGGACAGTGTCTCTAGAGCTTCGACAGGAGCATAGGCGGCCATTTTGACAATTGATAAAATGGCACATATGCAATGCTCTGGACAAAGTCTTTTGCGCCATTACTGTGCCTTATAAAGACCCAACATCAACAATTGTATCCAGAAAATTCCCCGGCAAAAAGCACTTTTGCGCCGCGATTTTTCGGAGCTGTGTCGACTGACCCTGAGTATGCAGCCTGTGTTTCAACTATGTGTGAAGAAAGCAGAACCCCATTTTGCCCAAGTGCTAGGTATACATGCAGCATCAGGTTCAAGTGCCTCAAATCATGCACTCAGGAGTACCTTGACTCTGCCAAGGAAAAGTGAAGAGAGCCGCCGTTCCACAACGACATTATGGAATTGTTATGTCAAGTGATTCCTAGTTGATTCTGGCGCGTTTGTTTGGTCAGGTTATTCTTACCCATTCCCATTCCAGAATGGTTGTCATTTACATTCTGGAAATGCCCAACGAAACGCAATCTAATATTGCAGCAGCCAAGACTACAGACTTTAGATTGCCTTGAAGCAGAAGAAAAGACCAAAGCGGTCACTTTCTCGAGTCCTGGTGGTGATGGTCAATGTTTTCTCCAGACTGTTCCCATTTACATCTTTCCCTCAAACCAATGAAGTGAAGACCAATGAGTTTAAACGGTCTCCGTTGCTGTACACCAGTGCTATACGTGCAGTATTTGCACCGAAGGGATGGCTGGCCTCCAAGCTACGTCAAGTTCTGCTAGAATGTCGACTAGCTGGCGATGGTGTCCTTTCCACTGGCTTCAGCTCCCTGTGTGAGCGGCTCAAACGCAGACTCCAAGACTCCGACTGTCGTTATAGCTGCTCTGTCTTGCGTTGAGTGCTGGTGCGCAGTTCAAGCTATTCTACACCCAGTCTATGACTGGATGATGTGGGCACATGATCCCAACTGACGAAAACTCAGACTGCGCACTGGAAATGTGTCGAACTGTGGAAATGTGTAGACTTTCTACAGAGAAAGTCGCCCGCGTTTAACGGAGTCGTGCAAATATGACGGTATGATGAGTTCGACTCCCTACTGGACTTCTGACTGTTTATAGGACAATGGCTGCCTATTGAGTAAAACATCTATTTGTCTCTCAGTCTTTTTGTCTGTCCATTTTTGTGTCTGGCTGATTTACTCTCCTGTTTTCTTTCCCCTCGGTGTGTGATATGCGATGCAGTTGTGTGCACGAATCCCTGGGTGAAAAAGAACAAAGAATGTGAATGTAAACCCAGACTAGATGGACCTAAGTGCACAGAAGGTAAGGGCTAAATAAACAGCTGTAATATAATAATTATAAGGGGAAAAGAAAGATGCTGTCATTTTAGGCCGCGTGTCAACAAGTGTATGACCCATGGGTATATTTACAATTTCTAGAATCATGCTCATCATTGTAAGGAAAATATTTCTCTCTTATCTCGGTGGAGCAAACTCAAACCTCCAACCTATTTTGTGCTATTTACGTGCAATAATAGATACCATATAATTGATTATATGGGTATGAGTTGGTGATACTAACTTCTGTAGGGTCTGATATTGTATGGTGGTCTGTTCCTATCTGTGTGTTTTGGGAAATACGTGAATGCACCCAATCTCTACTGCAGTATGCCATTGCTTGAATCATGGGAAGTGCGCTGAAGACGGTACCTGCGTCTGCCAGAAAGGTTTCCATGGAGACCTGTGTCAGCAGAGTAAGTAACTTCTGAATGAAGTGTATAATTATGTATGTTTCTTTGAAACACATGCAGCTGCGAAATGTGAAAATTATGCTTCCAGCCCCTGTGTTCGTAAGTTGTCACAATGTACAGCTTGTACCCAACATCTTGATCAGGTCTGACCTCTACTCCTGACCTGGCCTTGGTGGCACTATGATAAGTTTGAATCCGGTGAACACTGCATTTTTGCTTTTGCCTTCGGGGCCTGACGAGCCAAATTGCAATGATAGAGTGTAGTACGGCACGCTATTATTCATGGGTCTGTGTTCTTCATGCAAGTGCTTGCAGCGGCAGTGGCAACCCAGCCGATTTGCTTGCCCCAGGCGCTGCTACGTCTGAATTTCCCGCTTTTTCGTCAGTTGCCATGGAAAAAATTCACGATTCAGACGCTGACGCACTATTTCTGACATAGTGCGATCGGGGCCTGATCCCTTGCCACATCTGATGCCAAAACGTCTAAGGACAGAGAATAAGAGATCGAGGCAAGGTGTTCAAAATTGCGTCAGGTAGGCCATGGCAAAATGTATGGAGAAGCAGATCCCGGACCCAGATTCAAACTGTGGACAGTCTCAATCCGGCCTAAAATTTGACTTTACAGCGGGACTATCGTGTATGAATGGACTGCATTGGAGTATGCATTTATGTATTTGCCGTGGAGTATTCCAGTAATAGTACCCTGGATATGCCTCCCTATTGGCTTCAAATAATGGTGGAATAAGGCCTACATTTGCTGCGATTCGAGTTTCATGTTTGTGCGATCATCCATATTGGCAAAACCATTCTACATCGGCTAATGGGTCCACTTTTCTTCATTTTGGTGACGCAAAGTTATTTTAAGTACAGCCCTTGGATAGTCCATATATTATGGAACATTTCCTGAAACACTGCAGGAGACTGATGGTTGGGTAATCGTGGTCAGTTTGAATAGCAGTTTTCTATCATATAATTATACTTTTTCGTTTCGTGAAAATTATTGATAATGCCGGATAGCCCCTTAAAGTGTTCTCTCAAATTTTGTATCTGAGCTCGAGTGTATGTCTTATCGGAGCATGTGCCTGGTGAGTTGCACAGTACCTGATTGTGTTCTGAATATGCACTGTGTTGTGTTCAGCTCTCAAGACCATCTGCCCAGGCACAGATAAGGCAATGTACTCCTGGATGGCTCTCGCTGGCTTGCCGGTTCATCCGCACGCTAACGAGCCCAGCCTCACGGAAAAGGCCAATCTGACGCAAGCCCGCCGTTTATGCCAGCGTCGAGGATACGACGTGATCGAATATAGCGCCTTCATCAACCCGACCAAGGGCGTGCGCGGCTGCATGGAAGCATTGCTCCGAAAGATGATGGCGAGCACTTACGGCAGCACTATCACCGTATGGACGTCGTACGTGCACAGAGGGGATCATGTCCTTTACAAGCAGGACAAGAACAACCATAGGCAAGCGGTATTTGACCGGGCTGGAACAACCCTTAATGACGTCATTTGCGAAGGTAGGCTGTTGCCTTTTTAGCCACATGGGGGAAAGCTCAGGGCAGCAGGGCAAGCAGTGAAAGCACAGGGTAGGGACATTAACAGGGTAGGAGGCATGACCGCAGAGAAATAAACAACAGCATGTGTGCCTCACAACCCGGGCTCCCCGCTCTAATGGGCGACTTACTGTTGTAGGTCGTACCGGCGACAAAAACTGGGTAACCAGTGAAGGAACTATCCCCATTCCATTTTATGTACAGAGTGAAATGCCATCGCATGGACTATCCTGTCCCATTGGAAAAACTCGGACAAGAATTCTGAATTCCGCGGCAAATAAAATCCGCGGGGAAAAGAGGGTAATTCTGCGGCACTTTCTGCAGTAACATCAAAAATCTGCGGCATTTTCTGCATGTTTTTCATCCTCCTTGTAAAGGATATGCAGAAAGGAGTACTTTTTGCACTATCCTTTGCTTTTTTTACTTTCCTTTTTCCACCAACTGATTAGGAGTGAAGAATCTTGGAGAGACCTTCACTCGCCTTGACTGGCAAGAGCAATGTGTTCAAACAGATCCCAAAGTAGCTTTTCTGCAGCTTTCTCATCAGTAATTTACCTGCAAAATTCAGATTCCGGGGGACTGCCGGCAAAGTTGGACATTGCCCAGCTCTTGCGATCTGCCCCATACAAATTTGGCCAACAGTGGTCTGTGAACCATTCACGCCGGTGATCGCCGGTGCCGGGAGCCAGACTTTGTCAACATTTCAAACCAAGACTCATCCTAAATTTTCCTAAATTGAAGCTAAAGATGAGGTCCATTCGCCATTCTTGTAGTCGTTTCAAGGTGGCGAATTAATTCAGCATATCAACCCATCCTTCTCGGATGATCTGCATGACTGTTGTGCAACTTTCGAGACAAATACAATTGAAAGAAGTAAAGAAATACAAAGGATACATAGACAAGCTCATGTGACTTCCCAGCCCCATGTCTTCCCAGCCCCATGCCTGCAAATATTGACCGATACCTTAACCTGGCTCGGAATAAAGAAAAACAATTGCACTGACTTATCGGGTTGCATTGAGATAGATTTCAGTGCACCCTTTATTCATATTGCGTATATGTATTTTCTACCCACCACTGGATGTGCCCTTGTCTTGCAGCCAAGTGGCTTCACGCCAACAACTCAGCATATACCGCAGCAACCCCAGCATCCAGACGTATTGTCACTGAGCCATTCGCAGAGGAGGCATGTCAACAGTACGGACTTCAGCTCGTAACCGAAGACTGGCTGCGAGCACATGGCGATGTATTAAGAGAGCGCGGGCTCGAGAGGTTGGCTCTGAAGCATGAACGTGACCAAGCCGCTTACCACGTCAAGGCAATCCGGGTCGATGGTGATTCCCTTTACAGAACCGTAACATTTAGCGAGAACAATCAAGAGTTTCACCACACCAGAAGCAATGACAGAGCCCAAATCCTCTGTGTCGGTAAGTGAGATCATGATAAGTGTAACGTAGTAGTGTAGCGCTAGTCCGGGTCAGCAGCGCTGTATTTCGTATGTGTATTTCGTATGTGTGTGTGTATGTGTGTATGTGTGTATGTGTGTGTATGTGTGTGTGTGTGTGTTTATTTTGGTTTGAATTTGTATTCTTTATTCTCACGATGGCCCCATCGCCAAAAAGAGATACATTTATGAGAAGGTGAGATTGTGGGTTATGCAGTTGGAAAGTGATTTACATTACTTTGAATTTGGTTATACTGTACGTTGAAATCCGCTGAGAGTTAAGTGGCCATGGGGCGCTGGCCGTACAGCCATGAGCACTGCTGGTCTTTGCTGACAGTTCTCTGATAAGACGGACGACTGGTGTGTACGACTGACTTTTCAGCAGGGCTGCAACAGGTAGGGGTTTGGTCGGGCAAGGAGTTCGGGTATTTTTATCCGGGTAGCACGGATACCCTATCAGGCACTTGCACTACATAAGAAAGTGTACAGTTAGCAGGTAGCCATGCTTTTAACATGCATTGCTGTGGCAAACAAATTCACGGTTCGCGCGAGACGCGGCTGGAAGCCCAGTTTTCCGTATCCGTAGGAACGCCACCACCCTTCAAGGAAACCCTTCAACACAATAATAGTTATTCTTAGTTATAATTATCCACTGAATAAAGACCCCCATTGATTTGTGACCACAGATTGGTCATAAAAACGAATCAGAAAAATAAAGACTGTTAATAAAAACTTCTCAGCACTATACAAGTACAACCATTCAGCGCAATAAAAACGGCTCAGCAAACTGAATAGGTCTGGGGATGAATCCAGCAGAAATCACACATTGCCACAAAATGAAACGCTGAGCAGAAAAAAGTGCAAGTTAAAAAAAAACCTTTTTAGGATTCAGAGGGCAATGTCTTCTTCATCTCAGCTTTTCCCCCGCTCTTTTTTAGCTGCAAGGAGAGCTTTTTCTTCTTACGCTGCGGGGTTACATTGAAAGTAACATTGTAAGTTGACATCAGATTTCTTTTTTGGATCCACTAAGGTGTGACTTTGCTATTGCCTCTGTGTGTGGGTGCATAGCAACCCACGCATGTCTTACGCAGGTATGACTTTTTCTTTGCAACCAATTGTCACCCCATCCCCATTAGCCAATCCAGTCAATTTCACCTTTGCTGTGAGTAAAACCGCTTGAAATGTGCTTGGATCCATACAAAAACTGGATCCAAGTGGATCCAGTTTTTGAATTTTTGAAATTGTTGCTATGCTGTGACGTAGCACTTTCAAGCCCTGGTGGGAATTGAAACTTCAATCTTTCGTCGTCATAAGTGCACACTGGTCAAGCGTTGTGGCATTTGTGACGCACTGCTCTGCCGCTAACATCGTCAGCGTGGAAGAACTGCCAGTGGAATCCTGGTGGGATTTCGGATGCCAACACTCCTTTTGCTTGGTGGATTCTTTCGTGGGCAGTGTTTTTTTGTAACGTAAAATTTTGCAGTATTCTTTTCTTTCCTGTTCATTTTCAGTCGTTGTCACTGTCAGGTTGTTGTTACAGTACAGCAGTTGTCCGTTCTACTCCATTGTTTCATCTGTTTTGCCATTGCTGCTAGCTGATTCTCTTTATTTGCCACTGCCCCTCATAGTACCCATGCTTGGGTGGAGGGCGGCGTGACCCGTTTAGGGTAGCTGTATCATTGTAGTGTGTGTGTGTGTGTGTGTGTGTGTGTGTGTGTGTGTGTGCGTGCGCGTGTGTGTGTATGTATGTGCACGGGTGTGTGGTCACAAAGAACGTGACTAGTTCGTCCAGAATTCAATTAACATGCATGATGACGTAGGTAAAGAGGAAGCACAGCGAGCGTTCCTGGTACGTACGTCGTCACTTTGACGGGGTGTGTCAAGCCAGCGCCAGGCATTCAGCCGTGACACATAACAAAGCCTCAGCTCGCCTCTCTCAGCAAAATGATCACGATAAACAAGCATTGTGAACGGTTCTCAGCCTTTAAGAGGGTTCGAGTTGATCTAAAAATAGTTTCCTGGTAACTTCGTGTGTGTGTGTGTGTGTGTGTGTGTGTGTGTGTGTGTGTGTGTGTGTGTGTGTGTGTGTGTGTGTGTGCAAGCGTGCGCGTGTTTGATAACCTGAGTACACTCATTTTAGAGAAGGTGAAGAACACTAACAAGATAACGGGAAAACAGCAGAGATCTGCCAGATGTATTTGAATTTTATTATTTAAAAGGATTTCCCAAAGGCTTTGGGCTTGTTGAAATGAAAACTTTGGCTGCGTTGGTTTTTAGCTACCTGGTAGAGTAGAGTAGAGTCACACAACTTGAATGCTACTGTGCTCACATGATCAGAAGTCTTCTCTGGAATAATAGCCCCCCCCTCCCACACCCTGTAATGACCGTTTTAAAAAAAATGCAGAATTTTGAAACTTTTCTGTGGCTCTTAAAGGGTTAAAGGGAAGTATACCCTGAATCCTGAATCAATTTTTCACCAGTTGTAGTCTTCGGGGTGCTCTGGGTCGAATGGTCTTGGTCCGAGGAAGCTGAGACGCTCCCTTCCTCCTTTATTTCCAATCGAATTCACGCACTTCCAACAAAACTGGGTGAGTGCGCCCTACTAGATGGGGATTCTAAAAGCGCGGATGACCGCAATTAGCCCATATGTTGTAGTCTTTTGGGCGCTGAGTAGACTGGTTTTGGTCCGAAAAGGCTGCGGTGCAGCGTTCGGCCCGTAGGTTCTGGTCAGACTGGTTGCCTGACGAAAAAAGAAAAGGGTCCAGATTTTGGAATTGCAATCAACGTCAAATTCCTTCACCTTGGGGATCGCCAACACCTTGCAACCATGCATATGAGTTTTGTTGTTGTCCGTGGCCAAATTAGCTCCTCGATATCGAGATGAAAAATCAGTGAATATCAGCGTCAATGGCGTATCAGCGTCAAACTCCTGTTTGGAGCAGAAAAGCATGGTATTGCCGCTCTGGCGGCAAGTTACTATGGAGATTCGGATTATAATCACAGGATTTTTTTCGTTTCTGACCAGGCCCTTAGCAAAAAACGTTATGTTGTAATGGTATTACCGCAAGGGGGAAAATACCGGGATCTGGGTTCGACCTTTAGCAAGATGCATGCTATCTTTAGTATGCTGTTGCCACGAGAATAGCTTTTATTTCGTGCGGTTCAACCATTTATGTCATCATATACGCGATACAAGGTGAAATGGGTACAGACTATGCAACATTTGGCCAAAAAGCATACCGTTTGTCACAGCGATAAATCAGCCTCCATAACGTTTTAACGCTGCAGTTTCAGCGCTATTTGGGTGATGAAGGTGCGAGTACCGTAAAATAGCGTTACCGTTATTTGATAAGGGTGTCTATTCCCAATCCAAAAAAATTCCCAATCCATCAAGGGTGAGTAAGCGGTCACGTGCTCATGCGTACACCAGTTACCTGGTCGCCGTGCCTGCAGGCTACGCCGTTGACAGCGTTCCTGTCACTCGAGTTGCACCTTTGAACCTTTGATTTTAACCTTGGTG